TGGGGGGGCTGCAGGACACCTGGGTCCCTTGGTGGGGGGGGAGATGTTGGGGCACCTGGGTCCTTTGTGGGAGGTGGGGGGGTAGGATACCTCGGTGCCTTGCAGGGAGAGAGGATACCTGGATCCCTTGCGGGAGGAGGGGTCCTGGGGGGTCCGGGTCTCTTCTGGTAGAGGGTTGGGGGTTCAGGACTCTTGGGTCCTTTGTGGGAAGTGTGGGGGGGCCGTGTCCCCCCCCCAGCCACTTGCTGGCCCAGCACCCAAGGGCCAGCAGCGAGCATCAGGCCGAGCCCCTCTGCCCGCAGCAGGACCGGACATGGCGACGCTGCGTTTGCTGTACCGGGCTGCCCGCACAGGTGAGGGCTGCGCCGGGCTCCTCCTCACCCCCCTCTCCCTGACCCAAAACCCACCCCTGACCCTTCTCTCTCCCATTCCCACAGGCCCACCAGCCCCCTTGGGCTACCTGCGCCCGCTCAGCACCACCGGCCCCAGGGACTCCTACAGTGAGTAGGGGCGCGTAGCCTCCTCCCATCCCCGTCCCTTCCCCTCCCACCCTGGGGCTGCCTCCCCCTCGCACCCCTTCCTCACAGGGTGGGCACAGCTTCCTTCTCCCCGCAGAGTACGTCAACGTCCAGGAGCCTGCCATGGACATGCGATCCATCACTGACCGGGCTGCCCAAACCCTGCTGTGGACGGAGCTCTTCCGAGGCGAGTCCCGGAGCTGGTTGGATGCTTCCATGGGTGGAACAAACCCCTCTCAGCCTTCCCATGCGCGGCCCCCGGTCCGTTCTGCGGGGTGCCAGCCCCCCTGCAAGCGTGCCCTAACCCTTCCCTCTCTGTTTTCCAGGCCTGGCCATGACGCTGAGCTACCTTTTCCGGGAGCCGGCCACCATTAACTATCCCTTCGAGAAGGGCCCGCTGAGCCCACGCTTCCGTGGGGAGCATGCCCTGCGCCGCTACCCCTCGGGGGAGGAGAGGTGTATCGCCTGCAAGCTCTGCGAGGCTGTCTGCCCGGCACAGGTCAGCCTTTGTCCACCCTCATCCTCCTCCCGCTAGCTCCCGGGGACGGCGTGTTCCCCTAAAGCGGGAGCTGATGGCGTTTGTATTTGTCCCCCCAACCCACGGCAGGCGATCACCATCGAGGCCGAGCCCCGAGCTGACGGCAGCCGCCGTACCACCCGCTACGACATCGACATGACCAAGTGCATCTACTGCGGGTTCTGCCAGGAGGCCTGTCCCGTGGACGCCATCGTGGAGGTGAGCTGAGGCGGGGGGGACACACGGAGGCGTGGGGTAGAGAGACCCCCCAACCAGGATGGTGGGGGTCCGATGAGCCTTGAGGGCGAATCTCTCTCATCCTGGCAGGGCCCCAACTTCGAGTTCTCGACGGAGACGCACGAGGAGCTGCTCTACAACAAGGAGAAGCTGCTCAACAACGGCGACAAGTGGGAGGCTGAGATCGCGGCCAACATCCAGGCCGATTACCTGTACCGGTGACGGCCGGGCGCCGCCACGTCTCCTTCCCACTCCCCTAATAAAGGGTCCGGGGGGGGTTCTGCCACCCCCATCTGCACTGGGGGCACCAGCCCCTTCCTAACCCGGAGCTCTGGCTTTCTCCGTCTCTCTTCTTTTCTAGCGCTGGGGCAGGGGAGGGGTTGAGCCCCCCTGGGCGCATACAGCCCGGGCGGGGGGGGGCCCGGGGGTGCGTGGTTGC